AAAAAAAAGAAAGGAGGAAGTTCACATCTCTTTACGCAGAACGCCATCACCATCGCTGTGTCCGCCCCGCCATCGCGAACCTGCAACTTTCGGCGTGGCCCGACTTGCTGTTGGCATTCATCAGATAGAGCGACCAGCTCTTCGTTGTAGGCTGCCCCTCGGACGGGCCTCGACCTCCAGCGACATCGGGCCTTGATTTTTTGTCAGGCTACAACTACTCCCGAGCCCGTTGCTCCTTTCCGGCGACCCGCTCGTAAGTAGCCGTGCTCTCCAATGCCAGCTCTTTTCTCCGAGGACAGCAACCTGTTCGCAAGCAGACGCTGTTTTGTCGAGCCGCACGGTGTTCAAAGGATCCCAGATTTTCGAGTTCCGAGTCCCGCCCCGTCGTCCGACCCGCTGTTCGGCCCGTTTTTCATTCGATAACTCGTAGTTTCCCAAAGTCGGGTAACTAATTCAAATTCTCTCGTTATTGCGGTCGTTCTCATATATCACATGATAGATATATATGTCCTACGTGCTATCGAATTCGTATTTGAAGTCGGTTTTCTTTCGAATTATCCGTCGGCTTTTATATGTCGTTTCGTTTATTGGGTTATGTTCGCGACTCCGTTAAATCGAGTATCATGTAGTTGTTGTGATAAACCATATTGTGCTCGTTTATTTGCTGTCAATAAGTCATATTAATCGTAGTCGAGCTTAGAACATTTGTTATATGTATTCATATTATATGTATTCGTTGTTTCTGTTATACCTCGGTTTAAGCTATCAAAAACCAGTTATTTGAAGTTGTTTTCTTCTTACGAAATGTAATATGTTCAGTTTTATATATCTGGGCTTTGGAATTTTGTAATTCCGATTTGAAACGAATAAGTTATGACTTTTACAAAATTGTTGCGCGTTCAGTTTTTGATTTCATTGTTACAGCAGATCGTCTGTGTTTGTCACTATTTTTGAGTGACGGGATATTGTTATTTTCCTTTGATATCTGCATAAAAGTTGTAGTTCTCTTAGTTATCTTCCAAGAGGAAAAAGAATTGAGTGATTATCATTTTTATTTTCATAGTTACGTCGAAAATATGATCAACGCGCAGTCTGTTTTCAAAGTTTCAAAGGGAAACAGTGGTTCCTTCTGTTTTGTTGTTTTTGACATATTTCCCAATACCTGGGAAGGTTGATGCCTTCTGATGAAATTTAGTATTTTCTATTGGCTTTCTCTGGTCTTCAAAATTTCGATAATCCGATTAGTATTGAATGAGTTATGATTTATATAAAATTGTCGCGCAAGCAGTTTTTCTAATACCCGGCAGCATGTGATTCTCTAATGTTTGGCCTGTTTATCGTATCATAATGTGCTCGTATGAACATATGCTTATCATAAAAGTTATAGGTCTGTTTCTTATCTTTTAAATGAGATAAATTTCATGTTAATATGTACTCTATAGCTTGAGTTGTGTTCTTATGAAGGTAGACATGCATGAGATAGAGTTATGTACTTGGACAGAAATCTGACATTGATTGTTAACTGATTCTAAATCATCTTAATAACCTTATATGCTTATGTGTTCTAAATAAAATTTGTAGGTGCATGCCTTAGGCTTAATTTGAAATTTAAATCATGTCCATATGAATTTTGTGCTGATAGTTATGTCGATTTTAAAAACGCTGCCCGGGTTAAGTTTTAAAAAAGGTATGTGGTGTTTGCAGAAATGGGAATTCCTTGATTAAATGTTTATATAAGATTAGTTGGACTAAGCAATTGTTATGATTAGTTGGTCATGTGTTGAATAGTCATTTATAGGACTATTTTAATAAATGTAGGTGTTTGACGAGCCGAGCTCGCTGCCTACTCGTGTTATTGTATCTATCGCTTCGGTAACCAGGTGGGTGTTGATAAACTTACCATGTATGTTAATTTCTATAAATGCTTGGCTTGATAATCTATGTATGCATGTGAACCGGTAGTCTATGAGGCCTAACTCTAGCCTTTAGAGAGCTTAGTCCGTGTGACGGTACGTCTGCGGTTGCTCCCGTCTTTTTCGTATCGACGGCTCCTGTCCTTTTCGTGGGGACGGCTTGTTTCCTATCTTTTTTCGAGATTGATAGGTTAGGTGTGATCACATGAGCGTGGCTGTGTTTAGGGAGGGTAGACTAGTCGATTCGCTTACATGCTGCGATTATGATTTTAAGTCTTTATATTGATTATACTGCATGGTATTCCCACGGTGAGCAAGTGTTCGCTCACCCCCACTATTATATCTCTTTTTCAGGCTGAGCTGGTGGTTGTGGCGAAGGATGAGCGAGGCGGGTCATATATATATGTGCTAATGAACTATTTTGCTTGCTTCCGCTTTTATCTAGTGTCTATCTCTTATTAGTATGATTAATATTGTTTTTCTGGAAATTGAACCGTGTTTGGTTTTGGAATTTGAACTTGGGATTCGATAGTGTTATGACTATCAGATTATTTTTTAATATCGATTGAAGTACCTTGAATGTTATCATGAGATAATTACGGTCGGAATAGTTGTTCCCTGTTTGTTAATTGTAATCTTAACTGTTGATATGTGTAGTGTTTGGAGTAGCACCCGTTAAATAAATTTTTAAATTGATTTTTGAAAATTTCACTCTGATTCTTGAAAAAAATAATTCGGTATTTTCCTATTAAAATAACGGGGCGTTACAGTATGGTATCAGAGCTAGTCTGCGTTTCTGTAGACTATCTCTAGTGTTAGTGTATAATGACCATTGACCACCCGCTTCGTCCAGCCACGACAGCTCGAGGTATGAGTTTTGCTGTTTTTATATATGGGGCTTAGGAATATCCACCTTATTATGTTTTAAATCCTAGTGTTTATTGGGTGAACTCTAGGCGCATTTGGGAACTAGTTATGACCCTAGAGATATTTCTCTATAAGTTCGAGTTAGCATTTTGAGCGAGCTATTTCGTTGATAGTTGAAATTTGCGTATATACACCATAGCTTTTCTGGTGACCAACGTCAGAATGCCTTATTGAGATTAGACAACCGAGAAATTTCGAATGTGCGAAATTACCCAAACGTCTGGGGCCGCTGGCAAGTGGACCGGAGTAGCAGCGTTGAAATCCAATCATTGGAGTATGATGATTATGATTTAGAAACTTCGAACGAGTTATCAACCGATGCAAAAGAGCTCTGTTGATCGATGGAGTGTTACTAACGCTGATATAACCCTATTGTCGCGGTCCGATTCAGCTAGAGGTTGCTCGACTAAAGGCTGTAGACGATCCCACTAGGTCGAGACAAGCGATGTCGACTCGGCCCATCAGCTACTTAGAAATCGTCAAACCGGTCATGGTACTTAGTCGACCTCGTAGAGTCGACCGTACACAAGACGACCTCACTCGTGATGACGAGCAAGCGTTCTCATAAACCTCGCATACTCGTGTAACTACAAATCGACTCGACAAGGTTACAAATCGACTTATAAGGACCTCCAGCAACTCGATGAGCAGATGCGATACATGGAAGGCTCCTAGGTACAAGCTTATACAGGATAAGAAGGAATCTAGATGCTGACTCAGGAGTAAGCAGAATGCGGACCGACCAGGGCATTTTGGGTACTTCACGTAAGTCGGCCAGGGCATTTTTGGGACTTCAAAGTAAGTGTTTCTACTCCTATATAAAGGAGCTGAGGTAAACCTAAACCCTAACTGTTATTCTCATTCAATACTCAGATGCTGCTTCCCCTGAGCAGAGCTCTTTCTCTCTCTCTCTCTCTCTCTCTCTCTCTCTCTCTCTCTCTCTCTCTCTCTCTTCACTTACTGACTTGAGCGTCGGAGGCTCTTCACCGGAAAACATTTCCGGTGTTGAGTTCTTGCAGGTGTTCGCTGCGGTCCACGGGCGATTTGGAGACGATTCGAACAGACCGGAGCTCATTTCCACCGGTTCACTCCAGATCTAGGAGGAGACCCATCAAATTGGCGCCGTCTGTGGGGAGTTCTTGAAGGAAGTAAGAGCTTCACACCCAGTTCCGATCTGTTTGACATGGCAGAGAAAGAAGGATTATCGAGGAATCTAAACGAGGATTTTAGGGCAGCTTGGACGGACAAGCGGCCGCCGTTAATTCCCGGCCCTAGACCACCGCTTCAGGTTCTCGGTTTTCCACCCTTTGGGGGGCACGCGCCGTCGGGGGTGCGTGTTGAGGAAGAAACACCCATCACACCCCCCGGGGTAAAGATTCCGGGGATAACACAAGGAGAATCTAGTCAAATGAAGGGCACGAACACGAGAGCCGACGGCCGCGAGTCCACAGAAACGACTTTGAGCCTGGGAAAGCAATCTAGAGTGCTGGAACAAGTGACGATGCCGCCACCCCAGGCTGAGGAGCAGATGATGACCGTGACGAGGGGTGAAATGCAAAGAATGATAGCGGAAGCGGTGGCAGCCCGACTCGAGCAGGCACAAGTCGAGAACCCCAGGCCCGAGCAGCCCAGGATCGAGCAGCCTAGGATCGAGCAGCGCAGGGTTGAGCCACTACCCCATGATCACGAGCAACAAGCCCAGTCCAATGATAGGCAAGTCAGAAGGGTGGAGGAGGAGGCGTCCTCCGTAAGGACTGCCAACCCGCAGGCAAGAGACGAAACACTGGAGCAGTTGTTGGCCCAGGTTCGTGATTTACAGGCCCGAGTCGAAGGGAGGAAAATTGGAGGCTCAAGGGGACACCCGTTCTCGCAGCACATCTTGGATGCCGACCTGCCACAAGGATTTCGTGATCTGAACATAAGTTATGACGGGTCGACCGATCCATCGCGTCACATGAGGAGTTTCGAGAACATGGCAGTTTTGCATCGTTATAATGACCCCGTGCAATGTCGAGCTTTCCTGACAACTTTGCGAGGTTCTGCTCAGGATTGGTTCCATCAGTTACCAGCAGGAGCTATCAAGGATTTCGAGGGATTCAGCTCGAGTTTCCTCAATCAATTTGCTAGTGTCAGGCCACAAGAGAAGTCGTATTTAACGTTGATGGGCATACAACAGAAAGAGGGCGAGTCGTTACGGGACTATGTGGCAAGATACACCCGAGCCTGCGTCGAGGTGCCCAGAGCATCAGAGGAGATAAAGGCGGGGGCTTGACCTGAGGGCTGCTGCCAGGTCTGTGTAGGAACTCTTTAGCCAAACGCCCGGGCAGGACGTTTGATGAGGTGCTTGGAAGGTGTGCAAAATACATGAACGTCGAAGAGGCAGAGGCTGACTTCTCACAGGCATCTAAAACGATAAAAATAGACCCTCGGGACGAAAGAAAAGAAAAGAGAATCTCCTCGACCGGGGAGAGAAAGGGGTCCCCGCGAGCAGAAAGGGAGGGACGGCCCAGAGGTTGGAGGCCGACTCATTACACCCCCCTGATGGCTCCACAGGCTAGGATCTTGGAAGTAATGGAGAGGGAGATTCGCGACCATGTGGTAAGATGGCCTAAGACAAGGAATGAGGGACCAACGAGGCCTAAAAGCAACCTATACTGTCGATTCAACAAGGACTACGGGCATAACACCGACGATTGCAGACACCTCAAGGACGAGATAGAAAGGTTAATCAAGGTCGGCCACTTGAAAGAATTCATATACAAAGATCGGGAAAGGACAAGCCGAAGGAAAGAAAGGAGTAAGAGTCCACGAAAGAGGACAAGGTCACCAGAAAAGGACGAGCTCCCCTTGAAAAAAGGGATAATTCACATGATTTTTGGCGGGCCGACCGACGGAGATTCAAACCGAGCACGAAAAGCGTACTCCCGAGGGAAGCATGCCAAAGTCGAGATACACCAAGTCGATGAAGGGAGTCCGGTAATGAACTTTGGGCCGGCGGACGTAGGAGAGGTCGAGAGGCCTCACAACGATGCTCTAATGATAACCGCCCAGGTGTCGGGTTATGAGGTGCAAAGGGTTTTTGTCGACACTGGAAGCTCAGTAAATGTGATCTTTTACGATTGTCTCGAAAGGATGGACCTCGACATCGAACTGGAACCCTTGCACACGTCTCTTTTCGGGTTTAATGGCTCGGAAGTTGCACCCTTGGGTGAAACCACGCTTGCTGTCGTCTTAGGAGAAGGGGACTTGAGAAAGGTGAAGATGATAAGGTTTGTGGTGGTCGATGTCGAATCAGCTTGTAATGTGATCCTTGGAAGACCAGCACTGAATACTTTCCAAGCTGTGGTGTCAACTTACCATATGAAGTTGAAATTTCCAGTCGGAGACCGGGTGGGAGAAGCTCGAGGAGATCAAAAACTATCCAGGGCGTGTTACCAGATAGCGGTGAGAACGAACCAACGAACGGAGCCAAAAGAAGGAAAAAAGCTGGGATCGAATGAAAAAAGGCCGAGGGGAAATGATCTCGAACCACACGGAGAGCTGATGGAAATTCAGATCGGAGAAGGGGAGGATCAGACCACTAAGGTCGGGAAAGAATTGGAGGACGAGTTGAGGGGGCAACTGGTTGAAATATTGAGGGAATTTAGAGACATCTTTGCTTTTTCTCCAGAGGAATTAATGGGAATCGATCCAGAAGTCATGGGACATAAGCTCAATGTCGACCCCCTCAAAAAGCCCGTCAAGCAGCGACTCAGACACCATGGGGCTGAGATAGATAAAGCAATCGAGGTCGAGGTGGATAAGTTGTTAAAGGCCAAGCACATCAAAGAGATCCAATTCCCCGAATGGATATCCAACACTGTAATGGTGAAGAAAGCATTGAGCAAATGGCGTATGTGTATCGACTTTCGCGACCTAAATTTGGCATGTCCCAAAGACCACTACCCCCTGCCAAGGATTGATCAGCTAGTCGATTCCACAGCTGGTTGCGAGTTTCTAAGCATGATGGATGCATCCCAGGGGTACCACCAAATCCCGTTGGCCCCCGAAGACCAAAGCAAAGTTAGCTTTGTCAGAAGCAAAGGGACGTATTGTTATGTCGTTATGCCCTTTGGGCTTAAAAATGCAGGAGCAACATACCAAAGGTTGATGGATCGAATGTTCAGGTCGCAGATCGGATGCAATATGGAGGTGTATGTGGACGATATCTTGGTGAAAAGTAGGTCCTCGACCTCACACGTAGAAGACCTGAAGGAAACTTTCAAGACGCTAAGGACTTATGGGATGAAGTTGAACCCAAACAAATGCGCCTTCGGAGTGAGGGCAGGACGATTCCTGGGTTATATCGTGACTGAGAAAGGCATTGAGGTAAATAAGGACAAGGTGCAAGCCATACTCGACATGGCCCCGCCAAAAAATGTCAGAGAAGTACAGGTCCTAACGGGTCGAATTGCAGGCCTGAGCCGGTTCATAGCTCGAGCTGCGGAAAGGAGTTTCCCATTTTTCAAGTTACTTAAGAAAAAAGCATTTCAGTGGAATGACGAGGCTCAAATGGCATTTGAAAAGTTGAAGGAATTTTTAAGCGAGCTGCCGTTGTTGACAAAGCCAGAGCCAGGCGATGAACTGGTTCTCTATATTTCGGTGGGAATTTTTTCTCTAAGTTCTGTGTTACTGCGAGAAGTTGAAGGAGCCCAACAACCAATTTACTATACAAGTCGAGTACTTCAAGGCGCAGAGGCAAGATATTCCGAAGTCGAGAAGGCCGCCTTAACGTTGGTAGTCACAGCCAGAAAATTGAGGCCATATTTCTTGAACCATGTGATAATTGTACGGACGAACTTTCAGCTGGGAGAAACCTTGGGTCGACCCACTGTTTCGGGTCGACTCGTAAAGTGGGCAGTCGAGCTCAGTGAATATTCTATCAAATACGAACCGCGACGAGCCATAAAAGCCCAAGCCCTGGCCGACTTCATCTAAGAAGGAACTAAGGGAACTAGCAAGAAATGGACAATGCATGTTGACGGGTCCTCGGCGGCCAGAGGGTCTGGTCTGGGGATCGTCCTAGTATCCCCCGAAGGCGAACAGCTCGACTTCGCCATCAGACTGGGGTTTAAGGCCTCGAATAACGAGGCAGAATACGAAGCTCTAATTAAGGGAATTCAATTGGCAGTCGGTGGTGGGGCAATGGAAGTCATGGCGTACTCCGATTCACAGCTCGTCGTAGGGCAAGTACTGGGAAATTGTGAAGTCAAAGAGGGCCGGATGATCAAGTATGTCGAGGAAATCCAGAATCTAGTGCGAGACCTAGAAAGGTTTGAGTTAACGCAAGTACCTCGAGAGGAGAATAAGCGAGCCGATTGGCTCGCCAGAATCGCAAGTTCGAACGAAGGAAAGATGGGGAATCACATCACCACACTGCACTTGGAGGGAAGTGTCTTAAATGAGGCAATGGAAGTCGACGAAAAACAGGATTGGCGACGAGCAATTCGCGAATTGTTACAAGGGCGAGTACCAGAAGGAGATAAGCAGGAGGCAGAGAAAGCAGCCCGATATCTGAGTAAATACTTTGAGGTAGAAGGGGTCTTGTACAAGAAGTCGATGGTCGGACCCCACCTGCGATGCGTTTCTGAGGAAGAAGGGGGACATGTCTTGAAAGAAATCCATGAGGGGTATTGCGGAGCGCATATGGGATCGCGGGCCCTGGCTGGCAAAGCCCTTCGAGCGGGCTATTATTGGCCCAAGATCCGAAAAGCAGCCGAGCGGTTGGTGCAAGTTTGCGACAAACGCCAACGCCATGGTCGAATCCCCCACATACCAGCCGAAGCAATGACAACGATCAACTGCCCAATCCCCTTTGCTCAATGGGGAATCGATTTAGTAGGCCCATTGCCGATGGGGACAGGACAAAGGAAATTCATGGTGGTCGCCATCGACTACTTCAGTAAATGGGTAGAAGCAGAACCTTTGGCGAAAATTACCGAGGACAAAATGATACAATTCTTGTTCAACAATATTTGTTGTCGATTTGGGTTTCCAAAGATCTTGATTTCGGATAATGGAACACAGTTCCAAGGAAAGCGGATCCAGGCGTGGTGCGTCGATATGGGGATCAAACAGCGATTCGCCTCGGTTGCACATCCACAGGCAAATGGCCAAGTCGAGGTGACAAACAGAACCATCTTGGAGGGACTGAAGAAGAGGCTGGAAAAAGCATCTGGCGCATGGGTCGACGAGCTGACAACGGTCCTATGGGCTTATAGGATGACTCCAAGGAGTTCAACAGGACAATCACCATTCCACATGGTCTATGGAATGGACGCTCTACTGCCCATCGAAGTAGGCTTGGAGTCTCATAGGTCGACGTTTTACGAAGAGAAGAACAATGAGGACTTAGCAAAAGAAGCCCTCGACATGATAGAGGAAATACGAGAGGAAGCTTGGCTGCGATCTGTGGAGTATAAGCAGAAGATGCGTGCAGCCTTTGATAAGAAAGTCCGAACCAGACGGTTTCAAGTGGGAGACCTCGTCTTAAAACGAGCCGACGCTCTCAAGCATGTCGGAAAACTAGAAGCTAACTGGGAAGGGCCATACACAGTCACAAAGGTGCTTGAAAGAGGTGCATATGAACTTGAAGATGCAGAGGGTCGACAACTGCCGCGATCTTGGCATGTGATTCACCTCAAACGTTTTTATGCTTAAACAATGTTTTGAATTCCCCTTTTGTACTGGGCAACGATCAAATTTTATCCAGTAATGAAACAAATTTTCTGCATTTCTAATATGTCTATATTTACGCTTCGATTTTTCTGTGATTGTTGAATAAGTTGATGTTTTCGAAACGGCTATATAGCCGATTAGATTTTGACTATGAAGTCGACCCAAACAACTACGAAGTTGTATGCCTCGAGTGGAATCTCGGCAAGGCTGCGAAGCCTACGACTATGAAGTCGACCCAAAAAACTACGAAGTTGTATGCCTCGAGTGGAATCTCAGCAAGGCTGCGAAGCCTACGACTATGAAGTCGACCCAAACAACTACGAAGTTGTATGCCTCGAGTGGAATCTCGGCAAGGCTACGAAGCCCACGGCTATGAAGTCGATCCAAACAACTACGAAGTTGTACGCCTCGAGTGGAATCTCGGTCAGGCTGCGAAGCCTACGACTATGAAGTCGACCTAAAACAATAGAAGAGTTACCCCAACTACGGCATAAATAGGAATTAACGCACAAGGGGTTGGGAGAAGTCGACCCGAAAAACTTCATTTTGAGCTCGAAGAGGGCGAAGGACGGCAGTTGCCGCGATCTTGGCACGTAATCCATCTCAAGCGTCTTTATGCCTAATAGTATTTTGAACTCTTTTGTACTTAGCAACGCTTAAGCAAATTCAGTAATGCAATGGTTCCCAAGTTTATGTTCAGAATTGTGTTTTTGCATTTTCATATCAACATCATTATGATTGCTCGAAAAAATCGAATTTTTCAAAACAGCCATAAGGCCGACTAACTTCAACGACTATGAAGTCGATCTAAACAACTACGAAGTTGCGCGCCTCGGGTGGAAACTCGGCAATAGGCTACGAAGCCAGCGACTACGAAGTCGATCTCACACAGCTGCGAAGTTATGTGCCTCGAACGGAATCTAGATTAAGCTACGGAACTTGTAATCATCAAACCTATAACTACGATCAGCTATGAAGCTGCTAAAATCATTGCTCGTCTTCGACCAGCTCGCAAGCCGGGTTGGGAGAAGACGAGTCGAAAAACTTTATGGTTTATCAGCTATGAAGCTGCTAAAATCATTGCTCGTCTTCGACCAGCTCGCAAGCCGGGTTGGGAGAAGAGGAGTCGAAAAACTTTATGGTTTATCAGCTATGAAGCCGCTAAAATCATTGCTCGTCTTCGACCAGCTCACAAGCCGGGTTGGGAGAAGACGGGTCGAAAAACTTTATGGTTTATCAGCTCTGAAGCTGCTAAAATCATTGCTCGTCTTCGACCAGCTCGCAAGCAGGGTTGGGAGAGGACGAGTTAAAAAACTATTGTCTCAAGCTATGAAGTTGCTAATATCATTGCTCGTCTTCGACCAGCTCGCAAGAGGGGTGGGGAGAAGATATAGCACGGTGTAAAGAAAAAGCTTGTGTGAAATATTCAAGAGCTCACAATAACAAACACAAAAAGGAAACTGAAACATCGATAAAATACGAACAAATGACAAAAAAAAAGATAGCATTATAATTAAAAGACGTCCAAATACATCCGAAAGCCACTTCGATCTTTACAGCCCGGAAAAATAGATCGAGTATGGCAACAAGAAAAAAATAAATAACAAGCTTCAAAGCAAACAAACATTTAATCTTGTCGAGAATCAGCAGTTGATTTTTCACCAAGATCGGCATCCCCACCTCCATCAGCCACAGGCTCAGTCCTGGCGTCCTCGTCACCCAAAGGCTCAGTCCCGCCACCCGCCTCCTCGACCGCTGGCCCCGTTCTAGGCTCCTCGACTTCCCTCTCCTCATCGACCTCTTCCTCTCCTTCCTCGTCGTCCGCCCCACTCGGCTCGACCAAGTTGACTGGGCCGGCCAAAGAGGTGGGGGGAACCTCGAGCTGGGTGCCCAGCTTAGCCTTTCGGATCGCTCGAGCCTCAAGACCCGTCCACCAGGGATAGTCGTCGGGAAGCGACGTATCACCGTGATAGCC